AGCCTTCGGGACATGGAGAAGGGTCCTTGGTGAGCTGAACAAGTTCCACTGTGTACTTCCTCCATTGCAACTTCGGCTTCATCCTGATGAAGGCATCGCAGTAGTGTGCCGTTGTAGGATCGCTTATAGAGCATTCCATCTTCGAGGGTGTAGCTTGGAGCCCTCAGCTTTGCCAGCTTGGCGCGGGCTTCATCCTCAGGCAGTTGCCCTGTGGTGATGAAGGTGATGATGTCAGAGATCCAGTCCTCTTGCCTTCGCTGAATTTGCATGACGGGGCTGGCGTGTATGCTCGAGAGGCTGAGCTCTTCTATCCTTTCAATTTTGGAGAGGTGCTCGGGAGATTCATCCTAGAGTTTTGATAAAATATCGGCCTCGGAATTTTGAGCCCTCGGTATTTGGGTGAGAGAGTGTGCCTCAAATACCTTGAGAAATTCTTTAGCCGCTTCCTTGTATTGTTTCATCCTCCCTTCCTTGGCCTCATACTCCCCGGAGATTTGGCCCACGACAAGCTTGGAGTCACACTTGACGTGGATCATTTTGGCCTTCATATTTGCTGCCAGTCGAAGGCCACAGAGGAGGGCCTCATATTCCGCTTCGTTGTTGGAGACTTTGAAGGAGAAGCGGATGGCATAGTAGGCCCGGAAGCCTTCAGGAGTAATAAGAACCACTCCTCCCCCGCATGCTTTGGTGGCTGAGGAGCCATCGGTATAAAGGGTCCACCACTCGTCCGAAAGTGCCGAGGGCTCCTCATCCACCGCTGATCTGGCCGTGCACTCCGTCACGAAGTCTGCCAGGGCTTGGCCCTTTATGGCTGGCCTCAGACGGATGTCGATGTTGTATTGGCTGAGGAAGATAGCCCATTTTACCATTCGAGAGGAGCTGGTGGGACTCCTCATCAAGGCGCCGAGGGGTTGATGCGTAAGGACCTGGACCGGGTGGGCCTGAAAGTAATGGCCAAGCTTGTTCACAGTCCAAACAATTGCTAACACCGTTTTCTCCACAGGGGAATACCGGAGTTCCGCTTCCCTGAGGGTCTTGCTAACATAGAAGATGGCATATGTTGGACGCCATTTTCTTCTCGGATGAGTACTGAGCTGATGGTTGCCGGGCTAACACCATGGTAAAGGTACAAGGTCTCCCCTACCTTGGGTTTGGAGAGCACAGGGGGTGAAGATAAGTACTGTTTTAGTTCGTTGAAGGCCTCCTGGCATTCTGAAGTCCATTGGAAGCCGAGGGTCTTCCTCATGATCTAGAATAAGGGTAAAGACTTCTCCGCCAATTTGGATAGGAAGCAGTTGAGGGCTGTCAGGTGGCTCGTCAACCGTTGGACCTCCTTCACGTTACGTGGGGGCTCCATATTGATGATGGCATGGATCTTCTTGGGGTTGGCCTCGATACCCCTTCGGCTCACCATGTAGCCTAAGAATTTGCCTCCTTGTACGCTGAAGGTGCATTTCTTCGGGTTTAGCCGAAGGTTGAATTTTTGCATGATGGCGAAGATCTCCCGGAGGTCGTCAGCATGGCTTGATGACCGTTTGCTTTTGACAATCATGTCATCAACGTAAGCCTCCACGGTGCACCCTAGGACGGCCTGAAAGACTCTGGCCACCATCCGGGTGTAAGTGGAGCCTAAGTTCTTTAGGCCGAAGGCCATCACAAGGTAGCAGAATATGCCCTCGGGAGTCATGAAGGTTGTTTTTCGGCGTCTTCCTCGTGCATGAAAATCTGGTGATACCCTCGGAAGGAATCGAGGAAGGACATGATCTCGCACCCCGCGGTCTCATCCACCAGTTGATCAATATTAGGCAGGGGGAAGGGGTCCATGGGGCACGCCCTGTTTAAATCAATGTAGTCTACACACATGCGGAAGGTGGGCGACTTTTGTGCGAGGACTACGTTAGCCAGCCATGAGGGGTATTTCACCTCCTTGATGTGCTTGATGGAGAGGAGCATGGTGACCTCCTTCTTCACAAAATCCCTTCTCTCGGCCGAGAGGGGTCTTCTTCGCTGCTGTACAGGTTTAACCGAAGGGTCCACCGAGAGGCGGTGGGTGATGACCTGTCGGTTGATTTCGGGCATATCCTCCGGTCCCCATGCAAAAACAATGGAGTAGCCGCGGAGGGCTTCAGTTATACCGGTCTTCAGGGAGCTTGGCTCCAATCTTCACAACTCTCTCCGGCTTGGCCGGATCGAGTGCGAAGTCTTCTACCTCCTCGGTGGGCTCAGCCCTCGGCCTCTTCTCTTCTTCCTCCACTGTTCCGGTGATGGTGTCAACACAGAACTCGGTCTTACTAACCTTCTTCGTCACTTGAAGGTAGCAAGCGCAGGCAAGTTTTTGATTCCCCCTCGAGTACCCGATGCCTCCTTCGGTGGGGAATTTGAGGCACAGATGCCTCATGGAGATGATGGCGTCGAGGTCTTCGGGGGCTGGTCTGCCGAGGATGATGTTGTGGGCGCAGTCGATGTTGACAAAGACGAACTCCACTTCGAGCTTGGCTCAATGGAGCCCGTCGCCGAATAGTAACGGGAGGGTAATGACCCCCTCAGAATCAATGGTGTCTCCGGTGAAGCCGGCGAGAGGGGTCTTGATGGGCCGAAGGTACCCCCTCTCCAGATGCAGCTCTCTGAATGTGCTGAGGTACATTACATTGATGGAGCTACCTGTGTCAATGTAAGTTCGGTGGATGATGGTGTCATTGATCTCCGCACGGATGACGAGGGCATCCCTGTGCGGAGAGGAAGTCGGGGGAGATCGGCGGTTGTGAAGGCGATGGGTTCCTCTCTCAGCCGCTTTACCGGGGGAATATGAGTGACTTCCCCCACGTATAACGATTGAGCCCACTTCTTTCGCTGGCTGGTGGAGTCCCCTCCTGTGTTGCCTCCAGGGATCATATAGATGTGGCGCGTTTTCTCCTGCTACTGGCTGTACTCCTCCTCCTCATCGAGGTTTCCAATCTCCCTTTTCTTACCCTTCGGGTCGCCGAGGGGGATGGTGTTTGGGTTGACCCAAGTGTTTGCTTTCTTAGGGGGCCCCTGGTAGTGAGGGGTCCCCTGAGGCGGAGGGCCCCTGATGAATTGGGACAGGTGGCTTGCCTGTATCAATCTTTCAATGGCCGTCTTCAGCTGATGGCAGTCGTCGGTGCTGTGTCCTTGGTTGCGGTGGAACTGACAATAAGGATAATTGGGGTTGATGGCGTATACCTCCAGGGGTGCGCGAGAGTCGCGCTCCACAAGGCCCCTCTCCTCGGCGAAGTCTAGGATGACACTGACGGGGTGCGTCAAGGGAGTCCGAGCATACTCCAAAAGAATGGGCTGGGCCCAAGCCTTCGGGTTTCCTTTGTAACCTCCCCCGGGCTTGGCTTGGTCGTGCCGGGGGCGACCACTGGGGGTGCCGAAACCTTGGATTGACTATGGGGAGCCCCCGGTTACCTTTGTCATCTGGCCGAGGGCGTTGCTGATCGGGGTTGTGATGGCACTTTTCTACCTCCTTGAAAAGTTCCCGGGGCGAAGGACTGTTTGGAGGAGGGCCAGGAGGGTCCCATCGTCAGCGCCATCAACCTTATCAGCCTCCGTCCTCCAACGTTACGAGAAGTCCCGAAGGGTTTCCTCCTTCCTTTGTCTCACTGTCAGCAAGTGGGAGAAATGTTTTCTTGACCGGCGCCTTCCTGCAAATTGCGTCAAGAAGCGTTGGGAGAGTTGTTGCCATGAATCGATGTAGCCTTCGGGCATTCGGTTGAACCATTCGTACGCCAGTCCCTCCAAGGTGGAGAGGAACCAACGACACAAATATCCATCCGATGCCCCCACCATCATCATGCTGTTTTGGTAGCGGCTGTAATGTTCCTGGGGGTCCGTCTTTCCTTCATAGGGCCTGATGGGCTGCCCCCGGTACTTTTCCGGAATTCGGGCCGCCAATACCCTTGGGGTAAATGGCGTCCTAGTCCGGAGTTGGATGACAGGTTCCCCGGAGCCTTCGGCTATTTTCTTCTGCATTTCCTCCATTTTGGCTAGCATGGCCTCATATTTCGGATCTCCATGCGGGGTGGCGACGACGGTATGCGCTCGATGAGCCTCCATCTCATTAAGCCGGTGCTGGAGGGCCACAATGATTTCGTCCCTGGGATCCTTCGGGAGGGCCTCCGCCCCCTTCGATTGAACACGGGCCGAGTGGGCCTGATTGATTTGGTGCCTTGCGTCATCGGCATGAAGTGGTGCCTTGCCTTTGTCCTGATGGGGACGCCTCTCGTCTGCCCTTGAGACGGATCCCCCGCTCTCTTGGGGCCTTTGGGACGCTTTTCCACCGAGGCAGTCTTGGACCCCTCAACGGTCTTGCGCTCCTCCGAGCCTTTCAAGGGCTGAGGTCCGAGGCCTTTCTTTGTTCGCACCGCGTTGGTCCCGGGATTGGACCTCCTGGGAAGCGGTGTCTTGAGCCACGACCCCTTCGTCGTTCCCCACCCAAGGGGTAGGGTTCACGAAGGGGGGTGGTCGTGGGAGAAGAACAGCGTTTTCCCTGACTTGTTGTTGAAGGGGTACCAGAGTGCCGAAGGCACCTGGGTTTTGAGTGAGTGTCTGGATGAAAGCAGAGAATGCCGATTGTACGTCGATAGTGAGAACCGGAGGGCTCACCTGATTTTCTCTCTGGTCCCTCCTTCGGGTTTCGATACCGAGGCGGGCATCAGGAGCATTTTGTTGGAGCTGAAGGCGCAGGTCAACAACAGCTTGTTCCAACTCAGTGATGACCCCCCCCCCCTCGGGAGCCTTGTTAGAGGCTCCGGGGGCGTTAACTTCACCGAGGGCCAGGTTGTTGTCCTCAAGGTTCTTAGACTGAGCACGTGTGGCTCTTCCCATTTTAGTAGGTATTTTTTAGCTGAAGGGGAGGTTTTCTTACTTGATTGTTCGACCTCTCAACGAGAGCACCAAATGATGGATAAGTGTACCCGGGGGGTATCTATCCGAGGGGTTACTGCAGGGAATAACTAGAGAGAAGTCAGAGCAAAAGTAAGAGAGAGGATATATATTGCTGACAATGTGTTGAGCGTATTGAACATGAATTACAAATGGGGAAAGGGGCACTATTTACAGTAGTAATAAATGCCAGATAGGGACACATGTCATCATTCTGGTGGTCGAGGGGTCACCTCAGTGGGGTGGCACTGGCACTCGCATGTGGCCGCATTAAATGCGGTGGTTGGATGTGACGTTTGTACTTGGTACGTTGATCCGGCGCATGTGGGTGGGAGATTCTGTCGAGGAGATGCCTTCGGCCGTAGATGATTGGCCGAAGGCTCTTCATACCGGGGGCCTCCAAATACTGAGGGCTCTAGGTGCCGAGGGCTCCTGCTTTCGCCGCCCACCGACCAGCGGTGCCGCCTCCCATAGAACTCCGGCCTGTGAGCACCGTCGTCAACCAAAAGCAGTGTGCCTTGCTGGAGCAGTTGTCCGCTTGCGCGACCTGGATGCCAAGTCACCGCCTGACGTCGATGTGTTGTCTTCCATCCAGCCGTCGGCCATACAACCTCTGCCTACCACCCAGTGAAGGCGAATTACTACCTGAGAATTCACGGCGGAAGCAGATCTCATCACTCTGCTCTTAGACGCAAACTTCGTTCTCTCGCTCATGTTTAATTCTTCATTATCCATTTATTTGGTCAAGTTACAATCAAGTTTTTTTTCAAAGTAATTCATTTTCAGTTTCCTGTGTTATTGCTTATTTACCCATGTTTATCAGAAAACGTGTGAAATAAATGGAGATTCCAATTATCCGAACCATGTGTGCGGCTGCCCATCCGTTATCCTATCTTGTTTTCCTATTTTTTGAGATTTCAATAAGTGTCTGTACATGGCACTTAATGCATGAATTAACAAATTTTATGAATTCACTTTTTTTCTAAATGTGAATAAGTTTGTGAAATTTTATGCATTTCTGAATGTAGTAAGTGAATAAATTTTTTATCATTAAACGAGCGAATAAGCTAAATGTTAATAATCTTTTTAAACTATTGTAATATTTGTCATCGACAATTTTATGAATCAAAAGTTATTTTTTCTGGTTGATTTTTATATACGGTATTATATATCGTGCATCGCGTGGGTCAAATACTAATATTAATTAAGTATTAGAGTTGTACCATAAAAGGTCAATTTCAAAACGGGGCACTACCTTAAAATTGTCTAGGTTAGTTTGTGATGGTATCATGAACTCTGACCATGGCCCAATTATGGAATTATAGATCCAGCCCATAACGGGATTAAGCCCTCAACGGGATCAAGCCTTCAACGAGATCAAGCCCTTAACGGGATCAAGCCCATAACGGGATCAACCCATAAACGGGATTAGTATTAACTAGCCGCTAGGCCTAATTAGGAATAAGACTCACGAAAGGAACCCACAACCAGGCCAGGCTGGACAGCAAACCTCGAGCCTGGGCGGGATTCTAGTGAGGTCGGGATATTCCTAGGGCTTATGTGGCAGGCTATCATTCGTATATAGCTATCTGGCAGCGGGCAGGAATAACGGAAGAACGTGGACTTAAAGGAACAATCATTGCACAACGGCCAAGACGGTACAAGAGCTCTACTCGGACTAATATGTAATTAATACTCCCTCCGTCCCATTTTGTAAGATACTTTATGGTTTACGATGTTTGACCGACGATAAAGCAAATTGATCTCTGTAAACACTCAAATTAGTTTTAGAAAATAAAATTTACATATCCAGAAACTACATAAAAACCGCTACAAAACCTGCAAAAAGTAATTCAAATTTCATAAACTTTTGATATATAAAGTAAAAGATTAAGAGTGATTTAAGTTGACCAAGTGAATAGTAAATATATCTTACAATTTGGGACAGAGGGAGTAACATTTATTGTAGTAGTTTCCTCCTAGAATACAAGCTCCAATAGTCTATAAATACTTCCTGTAATTCTCTTGTAAAGGGATTGAACGCCTGATAATAAAATATCGCCTTACGCTGCCATACTTTGATCTGCTTTCGTAGATATAGCTCTCGTAGTTGAATTTAACTCCATCATTTGGTGCTCTCGTTGAGAGAACGATCTGCGAAGACGATGGTTGGATCGACCAGTCACAACCGCATGAGTAGAAATCAAGGCGGCTATCGTTTCAATCAAGTTGTGATCGAGGACGAGTGTTCTAGGTCACGACAGAGTGATTTCAGGAGGCGTAATGACAACGCAGCGGTTCAGGATGATTTGAGAAATAATCTCCATGGTGTTGGGAGTTCCAGGCACACGGCGGTGCGACCACCGCAGTTCCAGACTCCAGGCACCAGGAACCTCATCCCCAACGTCGATCCGGCCCAAGCCTTGGCAAGTTTAGCAACATTCCAGAGGGCTCTGGAGACTCTGACCACCGCCTTTCAAGGTATTATTCCTAATGCTAACGCAAGACCTCCTTCTCCTCGCCGGGCTCCATCCATACCTCAACGGGAGGAAGAGAGGCGTGAACCGCAGTGAAGAAACTCTCTGTCAGCCCGGTCTCAACTAGGGCTGTGCGTTAACCGGGTTAGACCGTATTTTAGACCTGAACCGGACCGGAACGAACTGGTCCGGATCGGATCGGTATTGACCGGTCCGGGTTTTGGTCCTTAGTTTTTCAAGATTCCGGGTTCCATTCCAGTCCGGGTCAAACCCGGAAAAAACGGGTCTGGACCGGAATGGATCGGTAAACTATTGTTCCGTAAAATATATACTTTGTTCTGTATCATTAGTCATTATGTTTATGGCTTACTTTTGTCGTTTATTATATAAACGAATATATACGGAGTGTATATTTGGTGTCTAATTATTTTCTAAGTTGTTTTTTATTTGTTTATTTATGTGCAGGTGTGCACTACTATGAACATAGTCTATATTTGTTTGATTTTTTCAAATTGATTTTTATTTGTTTCTTTATTTGCAGGTGTGCATGTAGTTTATACGCAGTATATTTTTGGACGTAATTAAGTTTTTGTTACTCTACAATAGATTTTGCCATTTTAATATACACAAAAGATTGCAATTTTAATTATTATAGGAAACTAATTGTTACGATTGAATAGTTTTGATGACTGTATTCTAAAATTAATATATGAGTTAAATAATTATTTAGTCTATTTAGCATCTCCGCACATAAAATTATAGTATGAAACAACAACAACATCCCAGCCTTATTCCTAAAAAAAATTGGGGTCGGTTAAGAACACTCTAAGATAATATGGCTTTTTCTAAAACCGGGTCAATTAGGGTCAAAACCGGACCGGACCGGACCGGAAAATTCAGGTCCAGACCGGTCTGGACCGGATAGATTCAGGTTCGGTCTTCGGTCCGTAGAAAATGATGATTCCGGTCCGGTTTTGGACTGGTGCACACCCAGACTCTCAACGGTCCCATCACTCCAGGCCGACCCTGAGAACCTCGGTAATGGATTGAATTAGCGGGCAAAGGATCTCTGTGCATGACAGAATCTCATCCAGGACTGAGCAGATTGAGGAGGCATCATCCGCGGCCGTTTCATCCCACCGCCGTAACACGCGTGGGGGGGATCTCAGGGACGAGATCAAGGCCAACCGGCAAGCCCGCGGAGATCGCCGAAGCCCCCCTCGAGCTCGAACAGGTCATGGCAACGACGACCTCAGAAGGAGGTTAGAAGAGCTCAAGAAGGAGGTGGACGGAAGGATTAACCCCAATCATGAAGTAAGGATTCCTTAACCGTTCACTCGCCAGATCATGGACGCTCCACTGCCGCAGGGATATCGGCCATGCAATATTGAGGCCTATCGAGGAAAGACCGATCCCCAACATCATGTTTCCATATATGTGGTGTACATGGTGATGATGGGGTACGATGATGCTATCAAGTGTAGAGGGTTCTCAGTGACCCTAGATGGACCGGCCCGGGATCGTAGTGGTATGACTCTCTACCTGACGGGAGGATCCAAAACTTTAGGGAGTTAGCCCATGCATTTGTAGCCCGGTTCGCCAGCTCGAAGGACTCCAAGAATAATTTCTCTCACCTCCTGGGGATGAGACAGGGACCCCAGGAAATCTTATTTGATTTCTTAGCTCAATGGAGGGACGAGTCAGTGAAAGTGGACGACCTGGATAACAAATCCGTTGTCTCCATACTCACCAACGCTCTGAGGTCAGGCGAACTATACAGAGATTTTGTACGCAACCCCCCGACCTCACACGAAGAAGCCTTGTTTCGGGCCAATGCGCAAGCAGGGGTGGAGGAAGCAAAGAAAAGGAAGAGAGAAGAGGAGAACGGCAAGCGCCAACCTGAAGGCGAGAAGAAAAAGTCCTCAGAGAAGAAAACGCATGACTCGGACAAAGGGAATGGGTCTAGGAAGAAGAAGAAGAAGAAGAAGAACGGTTGGGGAAAGAGCAGATCAAGCGTACTCGAAGGACCTCTGTCCGGCCAATCTGATTTTTCACCATTGACACATTCGGTAAGTACTGTCCTGGACTATGCGGCGAAGCAGGGCTTGATGATGATCCCGGAAAGGGGGCAACGCTGTCAACAGCCAGGCTGCTAAGGGTAAGTATTGCAAGCTCCACAAGAGCAATACTCATCAAACTGATGATTGTTACCTTCTGAAGAAGTATGTGGAAAGGCTCATACGTGAAGGGCAATTGGACCAGTTTGTGAAGAAAAGACAGCAGGGACAACACCATTCGTGGAAGAACACTTGGAACAAGGGTAAAGACGAGTCGGCCTCAACCTCTAAAAAGAGGGAGGTCGGAGCCCAGTTTGAGGATGATGATGAAGGAGAGGATTCATGCCGGTAGAAGCGCCTGCATGTCAACCAAATCTATGGCGGACCTGTCGGAGGAGACTCTGCGGGTTGCAGAAGGGAGCTCTCAGACCGGTAAAAACCCCTCTTTCAGGTTTTACCGGAGACACGATTGAGCTGGAAGGGGTGATCACCCTCAAGATCCAGCTCGGATAAGAACCATGTGTCCGGGCGATCGAAGCGAATTTTGTTGTTGTTCAGCTGCACAGTGTTCACAAGGCCATCCTGGGCCGACCTCTGTTGGAAGACCTGGGAACCATTATCTCCCAGGCTCACCTATGCATGAAGTTCTATACACCGTCCGGAAGAGGCACAGTGAAGGGAGACCAGAAAATGGCCAGAAGTTTTTATGTTAGAGCCTGCAAGGCTCACGGAGGAAATGATACAAGGATCAATTCCATTGAGAAGGATTTTTGCAGGTATGAGGAAGGGCACTTCAGAGCTCAGCCCGTCTCAGAGCTCGAGGAGGTCGGAGTCGATCCTTCCCGACCTGAACGTCAGGTCAGGATTGGTACAGGGCTCCCGGCCGACCTGAGAGCAGGGATAGTCCAGGTCCTGACAGAATTCAAGGTGGTTTTTGCTTGGGGGCCTGAGGACATGCCCGGACTTGACCCAAGCATAGCAGTTCACCGGTTGAACGTAGATCTAAAGGCGGCTCCCGTTAAGCAGAAGAGAAGATACCCATCCTTGGACCGGAAAGAGTTCGTCAAAGGGGAAGTGAATATGTTGATGGGCATTAAGCATATCACAGAAGTGCAATATCCGGAGTGGCTGGCCAACGTAGTCCTGGCCCCAAAGCCGCCCACCTGGAGGATGTGCGTGGACTATACAGATCTCAATAAGGCCTTCCCAATGGATCCGTTCCCTTTGCCCAACATAGATCAACTGGTAGATCAGACAG